TGTGCTGGAGCCACTGGGATTGGGTGACTCCCAGTCCCATCCAGCTCCACAGGGACATTGGGATTGCTCCCAGTGCTCATCCAGCCTGGATCCCCCCCATCCCAACCATCCCCTTCCCACAGCATTCCCAGGGGATCTCTGGGAGCAGCCCAGTAGGGTTGGATCCCACTGTGCCTCTGCAGAGCTTTATCCCAGCCCTGGGATTGGGGAATGTGCTCCAAATGCAGGGATGGGGGATCCCCGTGGATTCCAGTACCTTGTACACGAACTCTTCCATCTTTTCCATGGCATGATGAGCCTGGAGGGGCAGGGTCAGCACTCGGACCACCTCCTCCTCCTCCTCCTCCCGTGCCGCCGGGCACGGTGGCTCCTCAGCCTGCGGGGACAGGGAGCCTTAGGATTCACTCCTGGCCTTGGGAATCACTCCTGCCTCCAGGAGGGAATCATTCCTGGCCTTGGGAATCATTCCTCCCTCCAGGAGAGAATCATTCCTGCCCCCAGAAACGAATCATTCCTGCCCCTGGGAAAAGAATCATTCCTGTCCCTGGGAATCATTCCTGCTCCTGGGAGGAAACCGTTCCTGCCACCAAGAGGGAATCATTCCTGCCCCTGGGAACCATTCCAGCTCCTGTGAGGGAATCATTCCAGCCTCTGGGAACTCCTGGGGTCCATCCTCCCGCGAGGGTGAGGCAGGACCCGGGGTCACCCCCCACTTACGCAACTCCTGACCCATCCCGGGCGGGCTAATCCCAGATTCTTCTTGTCGGAAGGCGGGATTACCGCGGGATTTGCATCCCTGCAACCAGCGCTGGATCGGCCGAGCCGGGAAATCCCACCCTGATCCCAGGAAACCCGACCGGGAAACCCGACCCTGCTCCCGGGAACCCCGATCGGGAATCCTGGCCCTGCCCAAGGAAACTCGACCCTCCCCCCGGGAATCCTGACCCTGCTCCTGGGAACCCCGACCGGGAACCCCGACCGGGAACCCTGACCCCCCGGGAATCCTGACCCTCCCCCCGGACCTGGGAACGCTTCGGGTCCTGCTCTCCTGCTGTGCTGGGAATGAGTTTAGGATGTGATTCCCAGCGCTGTGGGACTGCTGGGGCACTGGGATCACCCCGGGAACACCCAGCACAGACACAGGGATCCCGGTGCCATCCCCATCCCGGGATATCCCGATGCCATCCCCATTCCGGGTGCCACGCCCATCCCGGGATATCCCGGTGCCATCCCATTCCATCCCTGCCCGGCTCTGAGCCGGGACCAGCCCAAAAAAAGACCCGGACCCGCCCCGCCATCTGCCTCCCGACCCCGGTGCCTCCCGATCCCGGTGCCCCCCGATCCCGGTGCCCCCCGATCCTGCTCCGATCCCGGTGATCCCGGTCCCGGCCATCCTCCGCCCGGGCTGCCCCGTCCCCTCGGGTCTCTCACACTGGTGGCTCCGGCGGCTCCTCGCTCCCCCTTCTCCTCCAGGAGCGG